GCCCTCCTTCCCGGACAGCAGGGTATCCACAAGGCTGCCCTCCTTCCTGGACAGCAGGGTATCCACAAGGCCACCCTGAGGATGCTGCCTGCACGGCCACAGGCACCACAGCCTTGTCAACAAAACACAAAAACTAGGGCACCTGCTGTCTTCTGACATAACACAGTTTACTTACAGATACCTGTTGGTGTTCACACTCATCCCACAGATTGTGAGCTCTGCAGGGCACGTGGTTGGGATGGTTTTGTTTGGTCATGACTCTCGAACGCTTGCAAATACAGTGCACAATAACTAACTCCAGTTTCTCAACTAACCAAAACTTTGCCAAGTGAGAAAATGGCTTCCAGCAACCCCTTCGTGCCTATTCGACTCTGGCCTCGTCACAAAACGGAGACATGTCTGTATATCTGTGAGCTGATGCCATAGACAGAAAGTGTGTCTAAAAGCAGAACATCCTCAGTCTGTCCCATGCACATCGTGTATCCCGAGGAGTCACTGAACCCAATTTATGCTAAAAGTACGACGTGCGATGTGCATTCCTACATCACAGCTGTATACAGGATGCCTGGTGGCCATGGGCTTGGACTGAGCCTGCTCCTCTGCATACGGATGGCTGAGTGTTGGCAGGATCCCATTTCTACATCAATGTATTAAGCATTTCCAAGAAATGCTTCAGGATATGAAAATGCAGCTTATGTCACATAAGTTTCTTTCAAAAACGTAATCCCCACAGAAGTTTCCGATTGTACCCCAGATGGTAGTGTGTGACTTTCTTCTCCGTGGGGAAAGTCCTGCTGTCCAGGTGAGGCACTGGCTCCCCTGCTCGCCACCCCTGGGCTGGGATCACAGAACAGGCTTCTAGGATGCATGTCCACAGCACCCCATCCTTGCAGCAATGGCAAAGGGACAGCGTGGCTCCCAGGAATCACCACACCCAACTCACAGGGACATCCCTCCAGAATACAAACTCCAGGTTCCCACAGACAGCTACGACTGTGGCTTCAGGAAACATTACTTGTTCTGTACTCTGCTTCCTCATTTAAGAAAACATAGCAAATAGTGATTTTTCCTGTGCGTGGCACGTGATGAATAAAGCCTGTGCTTTCTTTCCCACTCCTGTCCCCTTAGACACAGGCAGGTCTTCAGAGCCCGCAGTGGCACTGCATGGTGTGGGGCAGGGCTGACTGAGTGATGCCACAAGAAATGACATTTTTCCTTGCTGGGGACACTGGGGTTATTGGATCAATTCCCATGTGGCTTATGTCTGATTTTCAGAAGAGAATGGTGTGTTCTGGCCATTTCGGGACCTGAGCAGGGGCCTGCCAGACCTCAGCATCCTCCACAGCCGTCTTGCTGACCATACTGTCTGGGGAGGCCTGTGCCACTCCCACACGCTGATCACACCTACCTTCTCCGGGGGTCACTGGTGCCCAGGGTGGGAACTGAAACCTGTCTTCAATTGTTGAGGATTCACTACACATTTCTGTCAAGTTCAGCAAAAACTCACGATGGCCTGTGCTCCTAGCAGAATGTTTGCGGGTCCCTGTGCTCCCAGGAGGAGGTGGGGAGGGTCCCTGTGTTCCC